AAAAAAAAAAAAAAAAATTATGTAACAAACTTCTTATACATTAAGTTACTTCTTTGAATAAACATGAAATGGAAACAAGGAATTTTGTGGGGGAGCTACAAATAGCTTGAGAGCAGTGACTACATAATAACAAGAATCAAAACAAACCTTACGCATTAAGTAACAAATTATTAAAATATTTTACAAAAACACACAGTGTTAAAAATATCAATATTTCTATAGACTATATTAACTGCAGAAACACATTTGGTTGTGGGAATTACCTATATGCGTCAGTGAACTTATTAACATTATCCATAAACTAACAATATCAAGAATGAATGAGCTACTGAGCTAATTTTTAGAAATGCTGATAAGAAATAAGGCAANATCCATAAACTAACAATATCAAGAATGAATGAGCTACTGAGCTAATAAGAAATAAGGCACAACATGCAGTTCCAAAAATACCTGACAATATGACCATTTCCCACCTGATCTGTCATTGTTACATCAGCATACTCGCAAAAAGCATAGCCCTTGCTGAGACCTGTGGCAGAGTCTTTTACCAAGTTGAAGGCCCGCAACTGTCCAAATGACATCAGAAGCTCTTTCACCTGTAGGAGAAACAATCACCATTTTAGCACTAAAAACAAGCTAATATTTATATACCCACAGAATGCTACAAAATCAAAATACAAGAATTATGTGGCTATCAATGAATTGCATTTCTTCCGATTCCTTTGTACTTTCATCAATTACCTAACATTTGGTTTAATGTTCTACGTATTACCTCCATTTTCAACTCACCGTGTAAAAGAATACTGCATATGCGAACAAATATAGTGAATGTGTATTTGAAAGAAATTTTAAAAGCAAAGATGACACATGTCAAAATTAATCCATGGACTAAATTCCATGGTTACAAAAATCTTTTACTTTAAGAGCACTCTTGAATTTGGAAAAATAATCACAGGAAGTAATTTATGTAACTTATTCAAAATGGGAACTGGCAATAATGATCTTTTGTATGGTTTTTATTTTACTTTCATCTACCAAGGGAGAACATATTTTTATGCAGCAGAGAGTCTGCAAACTTAGAAATGTGTTAACGCACGTGCTTCATCGCCTTCATGGTCACCCTATTTTGACAAACCTCACGGAATCAGAGATAGCCCAAATTAAAACACACAAATGAACTTTTGTCACATTTTCACAATTTCAATTTAAAAACCATGTTCACATTTCTACAAAATCAAAATGAATTTGCCATCATTAAATGTGCCTATGAATTGAATATACAGCCCCAAAGCAAATATAAGAAACAAATTAACTGCACGCTGTCAAATTACGCACATGATAAACAAAAATGTGAAGATATGACAGCTACAACAGATTGCTTTTAAGAATAGAAACCAATCCAGTTGACATTATCCAGCTGAAGACAAACTGTTAATATAATATGCAAACCAAAAATGCATAACCGTGTTCTTCAAGGCTTGCCTTAATTTTCCATCATCAAACAAATGTCCCAGAATGAGGTCACAAAATTATTTTTGAAGTTTCAAATAAAACCTTTTATAATGTACCACTTGACCATAATCTGACCAAACACGAGAAACCATGCCATCAAATTATATATTTTCAGTGAGAATGCAAAATGTCATCTACAGTTGAAAGCACTTTGTATCGTCTGATTTATGTTCATACAAAGCTTCCAGGGGCATCTTTAGTATAATAACAGTAATTTTTGTTAAATATTAAACATAAAATTGAATGCAATGTTTCAAAAGCTGGATCTGCTCCCAGAACATTACATTCTAATTTAAATAGTGGATCTACTTAGTCCAGGAAAGTAGCAATACCAAATGCAGAACCTGTTTCAACAAGGCCATTCTTCTCATGATCTGTTTTCTACCTAATTTCTTGTCTTCCCTATACATACAATATAATCATGTATCCAACAATAATATTATACTCCAGCTACTTAAGGACATGTATTGTTTTGACATTATCCATAGTCCTGTCTATTTTCTAAAAACAACCTTATTTATTTTTCAGAACACTTTGTTTTGAAAAATAAACAGGACGATGGATAATGTTCAAAAACATAATACAGGGTGTCTACAAAAGGTCTGACAAATTTTGATCTTTAATAATTTGGAAAATAACGAAGATGGAAATAAACTGGTTACATTGTTGGATTGAGAAACTCAAAAAGTTTTGTGTCTATTGTTAATAAAGTTGTACATGTGCTCCATTTGTTGCACGTAAAATATCAAGATGATATTCGATTTCTTGCCAGGTTCGGGCAAGCATACCAACATCCACAGTGGTTATTGCGTCTCTTACTCTGGTTTTTAATTGATCGATGTCTCTCGCCTGTGTCTTATAAACAATGTCTATGACATATCCCCAGAGGCAAAAGTCCAGTGGGGTTGTTATATCTGGTGATCTTGGGGGCCAAGAAATTGGACCACCTCGTCCAATCCATCTTCCTGGAAAATGTTTGCCCAAAGCATCAAGAACTATGGTGTTCCAATGAGGTGGCGCACCTTCTTGTTGGAAAATGATTTCAGGCTGAAGTGCTTCAATTTGCGGGAATACAAAATTCTGCAACATGCCTAGGTAAATGACTGATGTGACTGCCCAATTACTCGATCATGCATAAGAGCACATGACACATTCACTTTTGGGGAGTCTCTTGCCATTTCACGGTATTCATGAGGGTTCTCTGATCCCAAAATGCGTATGTTATGGCGACTGACTGTTCCAGAAATGTGGAAGCAAGCTTCATCAGAGAACAATATGGTTGTAAGAAATCTTTCATCATTCTCTATTCTTCGTAACATATCTGTTGCAAAATCTGTGCTCGTACTCTTACCAGAGTAAGAGACGCAGTAACCACTGAGGATGTCGGTATGGTTGCCCGAACCTGGCAAGAAATCGAATATCTTGACATTTTACGTGCAACAAATGGAGCACATGTACAACTTTATTAATAGATACAATTCCAGCTATGGCTGGAAAACCACTTATTCTGCTGATCCTGCAATATTTTAACAAAATTAAGGGCATTATGCTGGTCGAAGATATTCTAACACAAAACCAGACACTCACGGTACCATGTCATGTACAAAAATATTTCTCAGTGTAATTTAAATAGAAATTTATACATGAATGTCTTCAGCTGGACTTTGAAACAAATCGCACACAATCAGAATGCACAAAGTACGTAAAAAAATGACTGTCACTTACCTTGAATATGGTGATATTAAGGGCCATGGGCCTGCAAGTTCAGAGACTAACAACACAGAAGAAGCAGTGACAAAAACTCTGCTCACAATACAAACAGTTTTTCTAAAACTCATTTCTGTGACTAATGTTCAAGTAACAAAAAATTTCTACATCTCTGTCTGCCGTTTGAAGCATAGTCACATTTTTATTTGAAGTATTTCCACAAGCAAAACATTCAAATGCAAAAGCACTGCCTTTATCACCACTCTTCGCAGTCACCCAAACCCACTGTCAAATTCTTACATACCAACATCAACTGCGGCAACCGCATTAAAACTTCGGGCTGGAAATTCATTATGGACCCCCAAAGCATTAGTGTCTGAGAAAACTTGCCTTGTGCGATCCACCACAATTGTGTGCGCTTGTGTGTTCAGCTCTCTCTCTGTTATTATCGACAAGCAAAGGATGGGTCTTACTACCCGCGATACCTTAGCTATGACAGAAGGGGGGAGAAAGCAGAGGCACAGATGAGTGAAATTTTCAGACTGATTTCATGTTTCTCTCCAGTATTGCTTTTGTTTGCAACACAAATTAAATAGTGTCACAGTGATCAACAATCACGGGACATGCTCCTTCCTGTTATGTATGTAATCTCAACATTTTCCCTTGACATGCAAAAATAAGGAAAGGAAAACAAATCCTGTAAAAGAGATATGTCCCCTTTGCTCTTACTAAATATATATATAAAAAATACTGATACTAATTATATGTATATACTTCGAAGATCTGAAATATTTCACAAATTCTAAAAACAAAGTATGCTACTATGAGAAATTTGTTTTATCCTGGAAATATTTCACAAGACCTGCTGAAAGTGGGAAAATGAAAAAAACAATCTGCCATCAGTTGCACTGGCATGAGAAGTTCTGAAAAGAAAACATATCCCAGTCTAATTTTTGCTTGCCTTAACCTGGAAAATTTCATAACATATCCCAGCACAAATCAAACTGAGATTATCATGTCCCAGTCTGCCTGAAAATGAAGTATGTCTGACCTCTGCTGATCTCCTTGCCTTGGCATAGAATGGTATGCCCACTTCACCTAGAAAAACCTGCAACAGAACGCTGTGGTGTTGCGTACCAGATCAAAAACTGTAACGAGAAAGCTGAGGAACCAACAAACACCGAAAATGGTGAAGTGCTATCAAAGCACTGCCACACATCCAACTGGTGAGAGGAACCAGGTCCTGTAATGTAACGAGGTCCTAAACCAGTGAAACACAGAGAAACAGGAAGAGAAATGTACATGATAAACTGAACTGACCAGACAATGCCAACCCTGGACAGAAACTGTCACCAGCAAAATTAACTTCTAAATGTTCTGGAGATTTAGAACATATTGTCGGAAATGACGAACTGAACAGCAGCCTCAAATGTCCAATACATGAAGCCAAAGGAGTACAATAAAAACCACTTGCAGAATTTCAGAAAACAGCACTACTAACAAAAGTAAATATGCAAGAACTACAAGGTACATCCAGTATGTACAAGCAAAGATCACAGAAGTAAAAAAATGTGTATGACACAAAAATACTAGACAAGAAGGTCTTAAAAAGCTTCACTTTAGTTGTTTGAAACTCATGTTTATTGAAATGTAATCCATCAGAAATGACAGAAATGTTGTAATTCCTTGAGGAAACCACAAAATTAACACTGAACATTTAGGTCAAAACCCCTAGAATGATGACACACAAAGAATATTATTTGTAACATGGCAACAATTAACCTTCATGTGAATATCTGGGTGACAGATCAGTAGTATCACACACTCATCTTTAGTCATCCATAAGACTGACACTGCCTACTTGGAACTTCAACTGTTCTCAACCACTAGAGCCCAAAACAATCCTTTCAAACGCCACCATGAGTACTGCCCAACAACTTTCTAATTATACACATGGCCCTGTTGGTCTTCCCTACAAAAAGGTTGTGCATAACTTGTCAACTTGCAAGTGACAAACAAAACTTAGTGTAAGGGTGCTGTAAGCAACAGGACTGTTCCAGGCCACTGCTTTTAGTTGGAGCAAGAATGTATGAGGCTCAGAGAGGGCAGCAAGAGAAAGAAGGCGGGTGCACTTATGTTAAGTATAAAATTTCATCTCTGTAAGCCTGTGATATCAAAACCCATTTTTACTGTCAAAACTATGAAGACAGCATCCATTCACAGCCATGCCTACATCAATGAGACACGAATCAAATTTTTAAAATTGGGGGGGGGGATCCAGAGAAATTGTTTTCCAAAACTTCTTGGACATTATTTAAATTATCAGCTTCTTCTTGCATCAAATATGTTCTCTACAGAATATGTGTGATTTCTGGCAAATTACAACACAATTTTCATGTTAAAATATGCATAACTTCTTCCACAGGTAACTGAAGAAGAGCTCGAAGGATTGCTCAGAATATATAAAATCATGATTCATGGTCGGTACTTCTTCAAATATAACATGACAAACCTGAAATTTCAATTCTTGTAATGATATCTACATTTTTTTTTTAATTCTAATGCTGTATGATCAGTCTACTGTGAATTAAAAGCAAGCCAGGTTTTATCTTCATGAAGACTGGCACCTGTTAAAATATTGTAGATAAAAAAAAATTAGACTGCTTATGCCATGCACAAATGGTTATGTAACCAAGATACAGATTAAACTACCTTACAGAGGACTTAAATCTTAATAAGCCAAAGACATACCGTTATGTCTTTATATTGACAATTTTGTTACTTTACTAAAATTATGGNCAGTTTGAACTCTTCTAACTAAATTTGTAATTTTCATACATCTTGTACTGTTGCTTTGTGAACTGGGTTTCAGTTTGAGAGGCAGTTAATCTATGTTTCACTGTTATCCATTAGCTCAGAATACAAATTGTTACTATGAAGAAAGCAGTCTCTGGGATTTGGCACCGTGTATATGTGGTGTTAACCGACGTTCCTCCGAAACGTCGGTTAACACCACATATACACGGTGCCAAATCCCAGAGACTGCTTTCTTCATAGTAACAATTTGTATTCTGAGCTAATGGATAACAGTGAAACATAGATTAACTGCCTCTCAAACTGAAACCCAGTTCACAAAGCAACAGTACAAGATGTATGAAAATTACAAATTTAGTTAGAAGAGTTCAAACTGACATCCCTTGAAGATCACTCCACTCACCCCAAACAGACAAAATGGTTGCATCCAAATAAGAAGCCGAGTATTCTCACACCAAATGTCAGGAGGCGTTCCAGGTAATACAACAGTTATGACTGGGAAAAGGTTACTGCAAAAATACTGCAGTACTAACAAGCGTTAAGGATAGTGAAAGATCTTGTCTGGTAACAGGCTTAAACGCTAGATCCTAACACCTTCTGAATATAAAGCGGACAAATGCTGTAACAACTAACAATGCTCTCAGTGGTTTTGGAGCAAAACATGCTAAGACAATTCAGTTATCATTCTCATCCTAATGCAATCAATCATACAATTTAATGGAATTCAGTTTGAAGAGAAATGTGATGCACTATTACACCACATACTACTAGGAAATGGAAAACTATGTAAAGTACAACAACACAAATTCTTAGAAAAAATACAAGTGATGATAAATACAATGGTTTTCAGATGACTGGAAACAACTCACCTAGACAACAAAAGAAGAGCCGATTCAAATGGTGTAAGAGTACGAACTGAACGAATTCAAATAACCGAAACATTAACACACAGGCTGAACATAACGAACCATCGAATATCAAGAGTCCCAAAAATAGAGATGGTTGCTGCTCTTGGTTTTCTTATGTCCTCATCCTTCAGCAACGCCAGTAGCTCTATACAGTGAGGAAACAAAATGCGCGCCTAAAAGAAAAAAATGATGTACTTACCTCTCAACATTCATGCTTGAGACAGTGGGAACTTTCATCTATTCACCAATTTCAAAGTACAAATAGAACACACATAAGTATAATCCAATTTTGTTCATACAGGGCTCGACTGAAACTGCACTGATTATCGGTTGGGTTGTATTGACTTTAACATGAAAATGATCCTCTCAAAAGTATACAGCTTTGCACTAATTCCAACCACTCCACAAAATTAAATGAATTTGCCTAAAACACAATTAGTACATCTTGAAAGAACAAATAACCACTGAATCTTGTTCAGTTCATCAAGCCGTATCAGAATTCTTGTTAACTCACACTCGTATCTTTTTTTTTTTTAAATATCGGTACATTGCTGTAGGTCATAACATGTTCTCGGTATTATTTTAAGCAAAATACTTTGTTTTACTGACACACATTTTCTAAATACATAAGCAAATAGCATTTTGCAGATGGGAAAATCTTGTAGAATCACAAAAACACAATACTTCAGTCACTAAAAATGTTTCCATCCCATATTTTTTATTATTGTACTCATTTTATTTTTTTTATATTTTGTATATTTTGCCAAGAGAGCATATTACAGTTACAGAAATGCAAAAGGGAGCCCTGTCCTTGATCCACCCAAAGAGCAACACCAAACTCACATGCCAGTTAAGTGACTTGCTGTGAAACTTGATACACTACCACCGGTCAGATGCACGCCCACACTTGCAGTGTACTGTGCACTGAGCCCTCAAGAAATGAAAAATTACCAAATTTATGTGCACAAAATTCAAATCTGGCCCACACACAGGTCCATATTTCTTAATTTATAATATGAAAGCAAACTGTTCCATAAATGTGTCATAAATTTGGATTTATATATATGTATACGACTTATTTTAGGAATCTGTAAGTGGCTGTGGCAACTACATTTACAGTACTGACATCATTACAATACAGAATTCAGCAATGAACTTTCTGTAATATTATATCAGGAATAGTTCCAAATGATATTGATATATTTTCAATATAACATAATTAGCAGTCAAATTTCCAATTAAAAGGAGTTTAATGCATTTTACATGCAGAATTTTATCTTAAAGATCTGGATTGTATTTTCCTTATCTTTACTAATGACTGTGTCAGTATTTCAAAGCAATGAAAGGTTTTTCCACCTCTCATAAGTGGTTCAAATTGATTGGCTGTAGAGGACTATGTATGTCTAATGAAATCTTGTTCTTTGCTATCAATGTAATCAGTGTGTTTCACACGTTTGGGTACATAAGATCAAAGACATATATTAAAAAGTCCCACTGTCCCAAGCTGCAGTTCTTCTGTCTTCTTCATTAGCGGTCAATATGTGAATAAGACACACAGAATGACCGACCAATTGAAGTAGAAGCTGTATCCATGTCTTGCCTTTACCTAGAAAACCTATTGGGTCAATTACAACAAATGCATGGCCAAATCTGGATGCCACTGCTTTGCACAAACCCTAAATTCCAGTGTTCATGTGGCAATGCCAAGCAACACAAATTCATAGCAGAAAACAGATCCAGTCTTGTTGGTACTTTATCAGGCCATTAAAGAATTCTGATTCATACTGGGCAAAACTATTGCATGATTACACATGGAACAGACATAAATTTTCAACCTGTCCAACGAAACTGAATTATGTTGCTAGCTATCAATAATTTATCACATACTGCATTTCTTTACAATAGTCATTCATGCACAAAATCTATATAAGATTAATTGTAAATGATACACAGGTTTGAAGAATAAAATAATTAGGTCCTGTCTAGAATAGAAATGGAATCACACGGAAGGCATTTATAGGACAAAAACAATACTTTCCGAATACTTCAAATAAGTTAAATATATGTCACTTGCATTGTTATAAGCTATTTTTATGCAAACTGTATTAGCTGAACTCCTCAACTTGACATGCTGATGTCTGTGAAACAGAAGGTTAAGCATATCTTGACCACCATGGCCTATTTAAAGCTTTACAAGCCAACAAATTCATAAAATCACAGCTGTCATTAGTGCTGTTTATAAAGCTGGAAAGACTAGTGAAATCAGATCCAAGCTGACGTAAAAGCAATGTCACTGTTAGGGAAATGATCCTTCACAACTCAACTGCAATGGGTACAAATAAAATACTACTGATCAATTCAAATTGGAAAGCGTGGCAACAGCCACATGTACAAAATGATGACATATTAACAGAGAAGTTCAACTAATCATTCAATCTATACCGACTACACAAAATAATCCCTTCTAAACTAAGACACTTTAGAACTATCACCACTGTCTGTAACCTTCTATGAACTCTGTATACCACATTCAATTGCCACGGTAAGACTGAACCTTCCTGCGTTTGCTGCACACGATACATAATGACCCTTAACAATTTTAGTGTTACAATGATATGAAATTTTCATTACCCTGCTGTAACATTACTCTATTTAACACATCTGCTCCTGTCAACGAGCCTGGCCATTTACAGATGCTGTGTCAAAACTATCACAGAGGACATTTTTCATTTAAGACTATACTTTAATAAGTATATAATTATTCTTTCTGAAAGCACACTGAGCAGTGCTTGCAGCTATATTTTGTGATTTCCTGGACATACACAGATTGTTTACTGTTAATTTCTTTATTGTGATATACTGCCCACTGCCATCATATAGCTAAAATTTGTGGACTAGGACGTAAGCCAGCCCCATAATGAGCTGGGAATGAAAGTGTTAATTACATTATATAAAGATAATAAGTGACTGCCAGAGCGTGAAAACGCTGGCAGTATAGAGGGAGGTGCTGCCCACTTCAGCTACGCTGAAATAACAGGGATATGACTGCTCTGCAAAGATTCAGTCTTAAAATCAGGGTCAGAATAAAGTTGCATAGTGTTTCCAGACAATGGTTCAAACCTGTTACGCGACGCAATGCTGACATGACAGCACAGGCTCACCTGGTCTTCGTTGAGGTAGTTTGGAAGGCCACCAATGAAGATCTTGTGCGGCGAGTCAGGGACTACCGTGCTGATCACGCCTGCTAAGCAATAAACAAGACAACCGCTTAGTGGCAAAGGACCGTCTAGAAAACTGAATCGTTCAAAATATTACAAATAAAAGTGTTCATATTCTTAACTGATGGAAAATAAAAAGTGTATGTTATTAAAAACAGGCATTTTCCAGTAAGAATATGTCAGGAAACTATGTCATAAAGCATAATAGAGGCTACAGCAATGTGAAGTTTCAAACATTATATAAATCTTCAACATTTTCCTTTTTACTGCTTAAGATCATTAATTCTGTCTCTGAAATGTTCACCTTTCTTTCTCCTGAAATGTCCATTAATTTCATATAATTTCCATTCATGTGGTTTGGATTCTTCAACCGCTCCAATGTAACCTGTTTGCATGGTCTAAAACTGATAATTACCTAGTCTCTTTGGCTGAAATTGTGATTTTTCTCTGTTAATACTTCCCAAGCCCCATCAAGCTGTTTCAAATTTTTAAATGATATTGTTCTTCAAAACCCCACTGTCCCTGCTAGTTTCCTGTGCACTATCATTCATACAGTTCGGAAAAAAAACTTTCTTTCCTTCTGCAATAAATTTTCTAATTAAAACTTCACACAGTTGGTACTTAGGAAACTGACAAAATACACGCTCAATTTCCTCAGACAAATTGTCCTGTGTACCGTCACTTTTATCCTAAGCTAGGGAATGTACATTTGGAACAGCATCATTCCCACAACCACTTCGTATTATATATGCAATATCTTATCACTACCAAACTCTGCCCTCATAACTGCTGATACAATTTCCTTATGAATGAAAAACCTGTTCATGGTTATTAACATTTCCTTTTCCACAGACAAATATGTAATTCTCTATAACACTAAACAAAAAAAACTAGGACATGTATAAAACCTATAATCATATACAAAATTTCAGTCATGATCTGTAACATATTTAAAAATTCTAGCCATACTTATAGAGTACCTAATGACTAAAACTCACTGTAGAGCCTTAAAAAAATGGAAGTAACAAGCCTTAATGTGACTCACAAAATAAATTACAATATCCTTTGGCATGATGGGTATCCTGACAAAGATTTTACAGCTAAGAACAGTTACCAAAAAAAAAAAAAAAAGGGCAAAAACCAAAAGAACAAACATAAATAGGACAAAACAGGTCAGCCTAAAAAATTATATAGCATAAAACTGCAGGATAGACACTGGACAAGCCAGAAGAAAACGGATATTTGCTCTGAGAAGGAACAGGCATAAGCCTCACCTTGAATCTGATGATGATAAAAATATTTTCTAACATACATCTCAAATTACCACAGAACGCCTACGAAATTACTGTTTACAAAGAGATTCAATATCCTTTATCATCAAAGCCATCCTACATTAACTATTATAGTTAGCCCAAAGAATATCCAATGTCCTAAAACATGTCATTTGAAGCATTTATTTTGTAGGTTAGGGGTTAAAGTAAGAGTGATCCATAACTTACACATACCAGGAACATTCACTGATGGGTTTTCTGACATTCCTGGCATGGGTTGATAATCATGGGGTCTTCTAATTTTTAAACTCTGTCCTTTGAAGTTGATACCATCAAATGCCATTGCTTGAGTTGTCTCATCTATTGAACGGAACTGAAAAGTTAAAACAAATTAATTACAAAAGACACTGCAATATAAGATTTTTCAAATGCTTTTTACTGTTCAAACCATTTACTTAAGTAGTCTTCAAAATATATTAAAAAAAAAATGCAGATGGAATCCTAGTTCTAATCACTTGTAAACACATATTTCAAGATTAATTAACTTGCAGATTTTAATATTAGTAATGTTATAGGAATGCCTAGTGCCCTACACTGTATTTTTTCTTACAGGAACGAGATCGAGGATACCAGGGTATTTTGTGCTGTGATAGAAGGGTCAGGTCTTGGGGCGTACAGTGGTGTCATGTGTTAAATGATTATATCAGTTCTATTATTAGAATCATCACTGTATTATCTTAGTATATTATTATATCATTATTTATTATAATTTTATTTATTATTGTAAAGTCTTTCACTTGTCCTATATCATGTATAATGATCCATGGATATGAAGTAAATAAATAAATAAATATTTTATCAATGATCATGCTGTACATTATAATAAATTCTTTATAAGAAGTGGGCGTTTAATTAGATAGTGCTAGAAATATCAGCTGAATAAATATCCTACAGGATAACATTAAAATACCAGTCAGACAAATTGCTAGACATCAAAATCCTGCTTTGTAACCCCTGCAACAATGCCAGAAGAGCCTGAGAAATGGAAGGAAATTTCATTTCACTGCCAAACACTCTTATAATGTGGAGTTATAAATATGGACATATCAGTAAAAATGTATCTTCAAGAACAATTAATTTCAAGAGCCTTCTTATGCTGGTGCTACTGCTCGTTATCCTTCAGCGTTCACACACATGAAAAAACCCATTCAACCTCAGCTGCAAATGAGAACTCTTAAAGACGCCTACACTCCAGCTGAAGATTTTATTGAAAAAATAAAGGGTAAGAGGGAAGAATCAAGAAACAATACACTCAAGGATGCTATACTGGGTCTCCTAATATTTGCCTTTAAAATGTTTCTTTAAGAAAATAAATCCCAGACAATGAACAATATCAATTCTTGAATTTAATGTCACCCATCACATTCTCTTATATAAGAGTAAAGGCAGGGGGAAAAGCATATTCTGGCATGTCCAGAAAAATGTTGCTATTCTTAATTAAGGTGAAGGACACGGGTGAAAATCCTGCAGGAAAGTATGATCATATGAGAGTTTAACTTTAAATTTTCCTTAAATTTTTAACCATATTCAATTGTACCTTGACCTACAAGTTACAGACTTACCTACTTAAATTAACAGCCATTAAACTTACACTCTAAATTTTGAGACATCTGACTTCAAACTTAAGCTCAAGACCACAGACACCCCACGTCTGGCACACACTACCAAGCCACATCCTTTCCGAAAACCTCCTAGAACCAGACCAAACCTTTGTGTGAGATGTCAACTTCATCCTTTACAAGTCTGTGAATGCTCTGGTAGCGTGCACCATAACTCCTGTGGCTCTAATTGTAACTGTTTTAATGATCCATTGTAAAAATTTTACTTACTTTTCATAGTTCAGATGTTTAATACTGCATTATCTGATGTCCCTTTAGTGATTTTATAACAGAATTACAGAAGATCAGGGGTTAAACTGTTGACAAATTAGTCTCAGCCTTGAGCTCCTATACATCCCATGTTATCCCACGATACAACGAAATCAATTTATGATTTTTCAACTTACAACCAATTTTTAAGAAACACAGTAACTTGTGTCTGAGGTACAACTGTACATTCCAGATATGTACATGTACATACACAAGAACCTGAGAACAGTTTGTTATAAGGATTTGTCCACATGAAAACAACAAGATGTACCTCCAAGAAAGCGAAGTTCTTGTCAAGATTGATCTGACAGGCCAGCACTGGGTTGCCAGCTGCCTGAGCTAAACCAGAAAGATGCATTTGTTGGTTGAAAAACTCCATCATTTCTTCCTGTAAGAAACCGATTATTGGTTTGACAACAAGGTTGTATAAGATATTCAGAATATAAGGTAGGCCGCACACTGGCATGCATCAAGACATGTAACAGTCAGGACACGATGTCTGTAACCTGATGCAAGGAAATGAGCACAGCTGAAACAAATGAGATTATCAAAACCACTGCACACCGGTCTGAGTCATGACTCAGACTGGCGTGCAGCGGTTTCCATCATCTCATTCGTTTCAACTGTGCTCCTTTCTTTGCGTAATGTTGCAGACATTGTGTCCTGACTGTTACATGTCTTGATGCATGCCAGTGTGTGGCCTACCTACGAGATTATCAATTATCTGTGTGCTGATTATCCACTTTGTGGATAAATGTCAGGACATTTTTTGAAGGAACCAGCATCCAAAAAATTTAACAAAGAAACAAGCCTGATAACATGCACAGTGTCATCCACATAGGTAAATATTGTTCTTGTACATTCATGAAGTCCACTGCATCAGACAGTAGTTACAAGAATAAATCACTTGGGGGGGGGGAGACCACTTTCCTCAAAAAACATTCGTTAAGAAAACTGGTACTTTCTACATATTTCTGTGTTATAATAATAGATGTTCCTTACAGAAATATAGTTAATTTTAAATACAGCACTGTTATATATAGCCAAGTAAGCACATAAATAAAGAATTAAAATGAATTGCATACTGAAACAAAAAAAGACCTCCTGTACTGTATTTTACATAAACAATACAATAACTACAGGTTATCTATGTAAGATGATGATCAATAAATGAATTAACACAGAAAAAGAAAAACGGAGAAGAGCAGTTAAAATGGCACATGTTTAATAAATGAAGTTCTCATTTTATGGGAAACATCAAAATCATCTGTTTTCTGCAAAGCCCAGTATGTTGCTATCTGTGTGCACATTTTCAATATTTTTAAAACTATTTCTTAAGGATCCATTATATGACATGAAGGATCTTACAAATGAATGCTGATGGTAATTTTCAAGCCGTTACAAGTGAGTTAAGTAAAATATTCATGAAAATGCTGACTAAACATCTGAGTAAAGCATTAGTGTTCTATTCAATAAAGCTTTAAATAACGCTTGTAAAATGGGAGATGTCGTATTTAAAAAAATTGAATACAGTTGATAAATTCTAACAATAATTCTACACACCAGTTTACTAAATACCTCTGCACAGACCACAATTACTACATATTTGTGCAGTGTTGCAATTTTTACCCAGAAAACTGAAGTTGTGCACAAATGTACAAGAATTCTGTAGCAGTATATTCATATATAAAAACTGTTTAAATGTTTTAAGATGAGTTTCTTACATTTGCACCACACAAGTACATCAAGCTGCGTTTCAAAAACTGTTACAGACATAAAATGCCACATGTACCTTACCTCTGTTACTCCAAAGGGGATGTTGCCAACATAGAGTCTTCGAGCTTGCCTTGTTATTGTGGAGCCAACGACAGGAACGGCAGCTTGGGGAGTGTCGGCAACAATGTTCGCCGGAATCTGGCCAGCAGCTGAAAGTATGTGATTTATTGAATTTTCATTCAATTAAACTCAGGGATGATAAAATTGAGTGACAGAAAAGCAAGGGCAGTTACTTGCTGACTGTAAGCACGTTACAAAAGTAATGGTTTGTTTTAATATATAAATCTGTTTAGGACTGAATGAGCTGACACTTCAGTTGGAGTTCCCTGTGCTGCTTCTAACCTCTGTCTTTGCAAATGAAATGATGAGCAGACAAAAAGAGCGCACCCTCTTGGTTATACTGTGGTTTCCTATTTAAAGCGCTGCTTTTATTTGTGTGTCATAAAATGATATTGTAACGTGTTTTGGTTACTGAAGATGCCGTAGAGATCGTTAATTGGTTTATTTAACAACCTACTAGTAACGGCTACAATTAATTATAACACAGTTGCGGGGTTTCACAATTTATAACCCTATTCGCAAATCAGTTCACTCTATCTTCAGTAGACTACACGTTTCACAATACGGGAGCTATAAAAGTGTCACTCTGTTACACACTCCCAATTACACAATTACACACATGTCCGGATCTTCCTGTCGCGATGGCTGCTATATTCCAACTTGACTCGTTGGCTGCTGCCTTGAGAACTGTTGATAACACACTCGCTCGTAGGCTTGCTCGGAACTAACTCGGGAACTGTCTTCAGCGATGGCCACGTTACAACTCAACTCCGCAGGCAGCGCATCTCTCTTATATAGGGGCTGTGTGTGCCTGTTACGTGTCACATCACAGTAGGAAGCGGTGCCGCGTCACCATGTTGCATCACCGCGCATTGCGCGTTACATCACCGTGGGGAGAGTGGCGGGGCTGGGACTCGCCTATTACCATAGTAACGCGAGCACTACGTTACCGCCACGTACTGCTTGGGAGGTGGGTGTCCTCCGTTGCGCAACATATGCATGTCTACTGCCTATTAAATCCAGGCCTCATCTTTTTCTTGTGTACACTGGGAGGGAGGGAGGAAACCAGACGAACTAAACAGCAGCATGTGTAAAACAAAGCTGGGCAAATTGTGGCCCACAAATTTAGTGTAAATACTAAATCTGGGGGCACGCAGTAGCGTAGTGGTTAAGGCACTATGCTATAAGTCGGAAGGTCGCGGGTTCAAATACCGATGAGGTCACTGGATTTTTTCAATTGACCTAATCCTTCCGGCCGCACTATGGCCCTGGGGTTCACTCAGCCTCTAATAGAAATGAGTACCAGGAATTAAATAAAATAATTTTCCTGGGGAGTAAAGTGCGGCCGGCACGTAAGGCTGACAACCTTGCCGCCATCTGTGAACTGATTGTCTAGATAATGTGGGAGCCTCAACGTCTCACAACCCTATGGGCCTTCACGGCCTGTTACAGGGATAGCTTTACTTTTTTTTTTTTTTTACTTTACTAAATCAGGTCACAAACTTCCTGCAGGGGCTGAATTTTCATCCACTAAATGTGGGTAAAATGCTAGACTGGAGAACACTGAAACAGTATAATTCATGCACCGAGTATATTGTACTTTACTCAGGACTCTAAAAAAGGAATGCAAAATGTGGGAAAACCTTAAATCGAGACTCCAATGTAACTCACTAAGAGAAAGCATAATGGAAATCCAGTAATACAGACTGGTTCAATAGAAGGGTATTCCAGCAAACTTACCCATACACACAATACTGCAAAAGTGCAACATGCAGTTGATAAAGTTTAGATGAAGTAATTTTCTGAGGAATACCAATATTAACTCATAGCAAATATGCAACAACTTTAGCAAAGAAAATGATAATGCCTTCAAAGCATACCTTGCATGGCTTTATACTGAAGAGGTGTGATGTGTTCAAACCCTGGTGGAGGTACATCCCAGTATAACGATGGTTTCCTCCGTCTGGAACGTTTGTCCTTCTTACCCGGAGAACTGTAATTCAAGACTTTCACTGCATTCAAACTCCAAAATATAAATTCGGTCCACCTTACATGCTCACCTACACACAAAAACACTAACAAATGCAAAAATTATGAAGTTTCAGTGAGAGGCCACACCATAACTCAAGCAGATAGCTGCTGGTTTCCGACCGCAGCGGCCTGGGTTCGATCCCAGGTCTCAAGTTGGATTTGTGGTGGACAAAGTGGCACTGGGGCAAGTTTTCTCCAAGCACTTTGGTTTCCCCTGCCAATCTTCATTCCACCAAATTCTCCATCATCATAATCACCTGGGGCAGGTACAATAGGCTAATCAGTGGCTGCTGTGCCGAGTGGACCCAGCTGGACTCCACCCCCTCTAAGCGAATTTAAAAAAATTTAAGTTTGCTATGTGGTCCATTGAAAGAAAACAAAAGTTTCAGAGTAACATGTCTCCAACTTTAGGGTTGAAGAGTTACACAAGCAAGAAACCAGCATGAAACAAGCAGAATATAAAAGCTTGCTGTCTGCTTCATGCTGGTTGTGGGAAGGGATTGACACCAGTACCTGCTGTGTTGCAACATTAAGTCATTTCACTGCATAAGTTGGCTCATGTGGTAATGCATTTGCCTTGTGTTTGGTAAATGTGAAGCTCAAATTTGACAGATACTATCATAAGCGAGATGTTTCTGGTTCTCCTCAGTACCTCTAGGCAAATGACTGGATAGTACTTCAAATTAGACAACTGGTAGGATCCATACCCTTTCAAGTTCATTATTCACTAATCACCCTACCAAACAAACAAAACAAACTCTGTGGCTTGAGTCCAGAAGTGAACTATACCGACCGAGTGACTGCTGCTTGTCGGCAAAGCAAGTCCCAACTTTAGTGGATAGAGGGTGCTGCGTGGTCAGCACAACGAATCCCATGTCCATTAATTTCAGTTTTCTAGACCAGAGCCGCTACTTCTTTGAAACAGCTCCTCAATTATCCTCATGTGGCTACATGGACCCCATTCCAGACCCACTACTTCTCAGAAAATCTGGTAGCACATGGAATCAAACCCAGACCTCTGACCACTAGACCAGAGAGGCGGTCAATCACCCTACCACTTAACACAATATAATCATATCTTCATCAGGTACACAATAAATACATTCTTTCGGGTTCTGCTGCCAGCCTGGGAAAATCATTCAAACACCTATGCTTCCTCCCACCTGGACACAACAAAGCCTGGAACCAACACCTGCCACAGTTCATTGTTTTTAGCTTCCTATATAGGCAACATCAGAAATCATAGAAAAACTCTTCCTGTTACATTTATTCATTTTATTCTGTAGGTCAAAATACACTGACATAGGACATGTCCATCATACCGTGGGGCAGCATGACCAACTGACAATATGTGAATCAGCTGGGACAGACAATATGGTTGGGTAAGAGAAGACAAAACTTAGTTTTTGTGTTGTGTCAAGATATTTCCATGGTGTAATGCTCAAAGCTTGTAAAGTACAAAGTAACAATGAGAAATATTTTCCATCACTAATTCACTCATTTTACACAGGATTAACATACCCAGATCTACTCCTCTTCTCTCTCCGTCTATCTCGACTACGTGACCTTGACCTTTTATCACGGCTACGTGATCGGGATCTTTTTCTGTGCTCACGTGATCTAGATCTGCGCCTGCGGTCTTTGTCTCGATCACGATCTTTTTCCCTTTCACGATCTGAAACATTAAAGACATGCAAACTGTCTGTCCTCAAAATGTGAATAAATGGAACTAAGGTCCCAGATCAATAATATGCTTTACTAATAATTGTATGAAAATTTAAAAAATTACTTAGGTTACTTTGTTACAAATTGAGTTATCAAACCCATTTCTGTAACAGCTTATGCAAAAATGTGCTGATATAAAATAAAAAAACTGAACAGTCCCAAATATTCCATCTCTTCCACTCCAGTGTCATAAATGCCATATGGTAAGTCTACTTTTTGTCACAGTCTATAATGTTGCAGGAGCTTGGATAGCTCAGTCACCATAGTGACTGGCTATGGGTGTGGATGACAGAGGGGTCAGAGTTTGAGTCCCTGTAGCATTAAGAATTTTACTTTCTCAAGTCGTCCAGACTGGCTCTGGGGTTCACCCAACCTCCTGTCCAATCGCTACCAGGGGCTCTTTCTCCTGGAGTAAAACACCAGGGGCGTGAAGCTGACCACTCACCTCCAGCTAGTGTTGATGTCAAGAAAATGTGCATCTATACATCCTTTACATCCAGTCTACCACATGCCTAAATAACGTAGTGCTTAACTTGAGTAAAGTACAAGGATGTTAGCTTGCTTTTTACCTTTACCTGAAATGTTGTTCTTGTTGCACCACAACGGTGTAGTTCACTATTGCAGTGAAGGAATAAACTACTATTCACTACCCAAAATTTTGGGGTCATTCATCAAACACAGAGTCGATTTTTAAGTTACAAAAGAGAGCCATAATGCAGGTAACCAAAACTACTAGCTGCAAACAGTATTTCAAATCACTACACGTATTACCTCTACCATGCCTCTATATATATGAAACACTAGTTTACATGAAATCCAACTCGAATACCTTCATAACCAATGCAAATGTACACTCATATAATACAAGAAGGAAAGAGGACTTATACATTGTTCCATGCAATACAAGCTTGTGTAAAAACAATTTCAATAATCTTGGTCTTCGTCTTCTAAACCACCTACCGCAATACATTAAAGAGATACCAGCATTATGTAAATTTAAAATTACTTTGAAAACATTTCTATTAAAACATTGCTTTTATAGCATAGATGAGTTCCTCTCCTATGTGGACAAGACTTAGTTCACATTAGGCTCATATAATAATTTAAAAGTAAGAACAATTGAGCTTAGCTTAACACACACTAGGAGTGTATACTGCGTAACTCTCTTCTTGCAGGAAACAGGACGCCATGTGCTGGAGAAAACACAGCAGGGACTATGGGATATGGAGCCGAGGCGGTGGGAGTGGTGCTGCTAGAAACCAGTGTATCTGGGAGGTCTTGTGACCGGCCAATTCGATCAAGGTTTTCCGTGGTTTTCCTTGGTCCCAGAGCAAATGCTGAGTTGGTACCCAAATTCCATGTTGCACTGCATGCTTCACATGCAGCCCCCCCCCAATAGTAACATCATGGAACTTATTATACTATAACTACACAAGAATGACATGTCTTATATCATGTATAATGATCCATGGACACGAAATAAATGAAATGTAGTACTACCAACTCCAGAGAGAGATGGGTTCAGCACACACATTCAAATATTACCAGGGCCGAGATTATACAAATTCCAATCATTAATATGAAATGCATCTTACATAAATATTATTCTAGTTCTTTGTGGTCGTTCGTAGTTTCTTTCACCTACCCTTGTATCAATTTGTGAAATGTGCCTATCGTGCATACTGTGTGCCTAATTAGATCGGCTCTGCTTGCGATGCCAATGACAAAAGCCTGGCAATCTCATTATCTGACTAAAATGTCTTCCGTGAATAACCAAAATATAATACTCTGCATTGCAATTCCTTAGAAACTGACATCTAGGTACAGTTCTTTCTACATCTATACGACTCTTACCGGGTGCTCCTAAGAACCTTCTTGCGCTCACCCAGCGGAATACCGGTTTCTTCTTGGAACTGTTTTCTTTCTAATCTTATTACCATGTGCAACATTAGGGCTCGGTGTACTACAAGTATTACGCAATATTAGATTAAACATAATGAATGTATAAACAGATATGCTACATTCTATGATCTCTTTAATACACTTCGCTAGGCGTTCATTTTCAAGGCTCAAAAAAAAAACAGCAGCCATCTTAATTCTCATTATTCTTTAGCCTATGTTGTATACACTTACCACCTTTATTCTCTTCCCCCATTGCGATATAACGGCTACAATTAAATGAAGAAATTTATTAAGCAATTTATTCTTTATAGAACAAAACGATATTTTAACAATATCGACATACAACACTCCAACGTTAAGCTCTTTACTACACTACAACAGAAAGGTACAGCGTCACCACCCGATCAACGATAAACTAGCCTCCACCAGACGCCGGTAAGTGCAAAGATAAGCAACTTAATGCAGTGGTTTTTGCAGTTAGCATGGTAGATCGATGGTCCTAACCGTCCTAACAACCTTTCTTGGAAAGGTAATTAAAGTGATAGTGGCGGCAGCTGTTAGCAGAGAGGTAAAAGGATTACGAAAAATATTAAAATGTATTATCTCCTGGGAAATGATACATGTAGTCTAACAGATATATAACGGCGTTTCGTTGGAACACACTGACTCTATCTTCAGAAACTTTGATAAATCATTCCCAGGTTATACGGAGTCACATACCAGGCAACAGTAATCGTCTAATTCAGAATTACGAGAAATAAAATCTTACATCAGTAATTAATTTTAAACCCTGATATTGCAAAGGCACATATTATACGTTTCGATAAAAGAGAACAGATGTTTACCGGCTAAATCAGTGTCGGCTCACGTTTATCACATCGGGGAAGAAGAAGAAAAGTTCATAAATACTTGGACTTTCTTTGTGAAGTTACCAAACATTATAAGCGAGTGCTGTTACCTAGGACGTGACGGTTCATAACACGGATCAACACGTAATGAGGGCACAAAATGATGATGCCTGGTGTGATCCATGCAAATAGATGTAGAGTAACCGGGTGTAAGAACCGTGGGTTAGTACGTTTGGGAGCGGAAAGGGGTGCACGGGCAGTGGAAGTGGGCAATGGGGAGGTGATGTTTATACTGAGGAATGGATAGATCTAAAACTCTAGAAGATTCTCTCAGGGAAGCGTGCTGTATCGGAGATATTGAAGGAGTAGAAGAGCTGTTAAACAAAGGGGTTGATGTTAATGCGAAACACGGTATCAACGGATGGTAAGGCATTTCTCTGTAGAATTAGGTTATGAGTTCTTTCCTTGGAAAAATGTGATATTTGATCTTAATAACATCAAATATCACATTTTAAAGTTATTCACTGTATTTTATATACATTGAAACGGTGTCCAATATAATTTATTTCGATCAGTGTGTGTACTGGGTAAGCTGCAACAGCGATTTTCATTCCGAAAGCATTCGTTCCTGTTCACTTTTTTTTTTTTTTTAATATTTGAAGGGTACTGCTGACTATTGTAATATTACACCATATAGTTTGGTAGAGGGCCACCGATGTTTTGGAGGAACCCAGGAAGCAGGCAGCAAGGAGAGCCGTGCTTCTATCAGATTACATGACATTACAATGTCAATAGCATTCTTTATAGCCATTCCTGCGACAGCCTCAATCAGTGTTAGTGTTTATTTTCAAAGAAAATCACAAATCACTTCCTAATACTTTAGTTTTAGTCATGAATATGTTTTTGATAAAATGTGGTTTTTAATCATGCAGCTGTGTTTTTATATTTTTTTATGTATTGGGGAACATCATCCTGTTCTATGCTTGTAATGCACTTTACTGTCCACTATCTCTGTTTTGCAGTTATTGGACTTGCAGAATACTAGACAAAACAAAAACAATGTACAGTAGAACTTGGTTATAACATCATCAAAGGGACCTAAAAATAGTGTCGTTATAAACGAATGTTGTTGTAACCGAAATGGGCACTTCCACAGTAGCCTTATGTTAGTCACGTAAAAATCTACCAAAAACCGAGTTAAAATGTTGCATTTTTAGTGAAATATGTAGTTAAGTACAGACTAACGTAACATTGACGTGGAATTGCCCAAATGTGTAATATCAAAGACATATTACAGCGCTTTTCACTGACAATACACACCGCACTAATACTGTATATTAAAGGTAGGCCTACTCACCAAATTACAGTAGATTACATCAATTGTTGTGCCTTACTGTACCTAGATACGAGTACAGTAATCAGTTATCTTCATCTGTTTCCTGTTACTTGCCCAATACACACTTTCTAAATTACGTTCAATGTCCATATCAGAGAAATTCAGGAATGAAAATGACGTTACATACGAGGTTGATGCATTTGTGCATGTCGTACTAAGCAAGGTATAAAAACAGTTGCTTTATGAGGAATTAGTTTGTACCATTGAATATTTGACGCAATAGACAAGGTGTCGCAGAAACCGATGTTGCTATAACCAAGTTTTACTGTATTAGTTCTCATACATAAATATTTTTACACACAAAATATATGCCAGTATCCTTCTAGCAACTTTTGTTGTTGTTGTGATTTTTGATTATGCTTCTTAAATGTTATTCTAGGACTCCTTTGCATTGGGCTGCAAAACGGGGGCATAAGGCTATTGTGAGCCTGCTGCTTGCAAATGGCGCACATACAGCAGCTCTTACAACAAAAGGAGAGACACCTGCAGCACTCTGCAGTAATCCTGAAGTTCATAAACTCCTTGCAATGGAACCTGGAGGGACAACAATCTCAACTGAATCCAATCCCGATCTCTCTATTACTCCATATTATTTGAAACATCAGCCACTGAATGGAAGGGTGGATCTGGGCACATCAGCATCAGTAAGAAAAAATACTGAAGGCACACACACCAACTCTGTACCAGTTACAAATCCTGTTAAAGTAGGGCATCATGTTGGAGATTCTACCCAGAATGATGGTAAACTGCGAAATACAAAGTGTCCTAAAAGTTGCTTTCTGAGATTATACTCATGTTCCAGGAAAAACTCCTTTATTTATAACCAGATGCAAATTGAGTAAATACACCAATAACTTAACACATGATAGAAGCTAGTGCTAGTGTAACCACAGTGCTACCACCTGTTGCAAACAGAAATCTGAATGCAAGTGAAAATAATCACAGTGAAACATTTCATCATCACAGTAAAGTGACTTTTAGGACACCAAGTATGTAACACTTCAGTTTTTCTTTAATTCTTTGCAACCCATTTGCCAGTTGAAGAGGAAGAGGGAGGGAAGGAGGAAATAATTAAGAGTACTACTTTTTGCAATGTGATGCCATTTAATTTGGTAGGTATGTACCAGGTCCCGGGTTCGATTCCCGGCGCTACCAGATTTTTTTTAGAAGTAGTGGGTCTGGAACAGGGTCCACTCAGCACTGTGAGGATAATTGAGGAGATATTTCAGGGAAATAGTGGCTCCAGTCTAGAAAACCGAGATTAACGGCCATGGTGATTCGTTCTGCTGCCCACGCAACACCCTCTATCCACTGAATTTGGTACTAACTTTGCTGACAAGTGGCGGTTGCTCGGTCAGTATAGTTCGCTTGCGGACTGAAGCCACAGAGTTTTTCCTTCTGCTTGAAATTCTAATTTATGAATGGAACCGGATTGTTTGGACAAGCTGTTAAACCTATACTTTCAAACAAAATGCAGGTTGTATGCCATTTAAGCATAAATGTATGAGCATATTTCTATAACTGTTCTGTGGTAGCTACCCATTCTTTATAAAGAACATCCATGTTTTACAATTTTTTATGAATGCTTTTGTCTCTTTCTTAGAGCTGGTGTTGAAGGTTCGTATTGCCAATTCTGGTGACCCTGACTTCATTGAAGTGGAACTTCCTAGGACTGAACTCTCATATTCCAGATTGTTAAGAGTATGCTGTGAAGAGTTGGGTATTAGTGCTAACCAGATTGTACGTGTCCGCAAGCTTCCAGACACACTTGTGCGCAAGGACAAAGATGTACAACGATTTCGGGATTTCCAGGAAATTGAGGTTGTAATTGCAACATCAGTTGGGAAGAATAAGCTGTTACCTGGCAACAATGGCCTCATTGGTGTTGGAGGACTAGGAGGGGCAAATGCAAATTGTTACCAATCTATATCTCTTTACAAAAATCAAACAATTCTGTATTAGGTTTAGTTAGTTTCATTCTCCAAAATAGGTATGCTGAGAGTTTCTTTCAAAGGAAAAAAGTACTGGAATTTTGGAAGTGTCATGAATTCACATGATTGTCTTACTGTATTTCTATGTGCTGTCTGCAAAAGAACTTCATGCGAAAGTCATATCGCCATGCACCATAATCTCAGAGTACACTGAAAAGATATGACTTAATTTGTGACATTTTAAAACTAGGGATTCTCAGTTACTGCTCAGTATGAACAAACAGAAATTCAGGATCATTTTGAAGTGGGAATTATCAGAATGCGAAACTTACATTTGGTTTACTTGCTTTTGCTCATGAGCATGTATGCATTCTCACTACAATTAAACTGCCCTTAAAAGGATTGTGTATAGGTATTTTTCTTGTTATTAAAACTGTGTCTTAAAGTACATTAAATTATTTATTTCAAGATTGTGCTTGCAGTTGGATTGTATGAATTTTTTCTCCACCCCCCTTTTTTTTACAGTCCCCTACAATATTTTAAAACAATTATTTTGATGAATACTAAGTGCCCTGTCATTAGCGACTGACATGCAAAGCTACTACTTGCATCTTGTTTTCGTTCCTTATGTGCTTTGTGTGTGAAAACATTTTCCTTTTCTCATAAATCAAATGCCTTGTAATTAGGACATGTTTCTTACATTTGGAGGGAAAATAATATATGTATAATCTGCTGTTGTATTCCTGAGAACTGCCACATTTCAGAACATATTACTCAATTATCTGAACAGTGCCAGTTAGTCATCGACCATCCACAGTGAGGCTTAATTACCCATTCTGAAACAGGTGCAAGTTCAAGGATTGATATAGATATTCCAATAAACAGAATGGATAGGGCTGTACTTTGCTTCTTCAGATAGGTTTGTCCTTGTGTCTAACTAATAAGCACTATGCCATGAAGGCATACACATATTCTTGACCTTGGCACTAGTTGGAGGTGACTGGTTAACTTAATGTCCCTGCCACTTTACACCCGGAGAAACAGCCCCCTGTACCTACTGGATAGGCACCAGAACTGATCTGGACAAGGTGAAGAAAAATCTCACCCCTGCGAGGACTCAAATTCCAACCCCTCTGCTGTCCAATCTGTAGCCAGTCGCTATACTGACTGTTATCCTGGCTTCTGCTCCTTCAGATAGTCTATACTGAAACTGAATATATTCTTCAGTCATTTCTTTTTTTCCTCTCCTGCCACAAGTAACAAGTTCTTTGATGTTGTCAGTCTCCATGATCACAAAACAGTAACCAGCTCAGGTCAGTAACAATGTTCTTGATTTGAATGACTAACAATATTTCAAAGAGGAATCACATTCAGGAACATACTAAACAAGACCAGTTCATAGATAGTGAGGTGATGCCATATAAATATGATGTATTGGTGACTGGAAAGAGAATGGTGGAATTATGGGCCGCGCAATAGCTGAAGCTGTTAGTCGCTGGCTTCCCACCGTGGCGGCCCGGGTTCGATCCCGGGTCTGGTCAAGTGGGATTTGTGGTGGACAAAGTGGCCCTGGAGCAGGTTTTCTCAGAGTACTTCGGTTTCCCCTGCCAATCTTCATTCCATCAAATTTCCCATCATCATAATCACCCGGGGCAGGCTATAATAGGCCAATCAGTGGCCGCTGTGCTGAGTGGAACCAGTTGGACTCCACCTCCCACTAGGCGAAAAATGGCCAATTAATATCACATTCAAAGAAGTTTTTCCCACTAGAAAATCCATATGGTTTGACTGGGTCTTCATGGGTGAAATGTCTCTGTTCTAGCATAGACACTATGACCAATATCAATTAATGCATATATGAATCAGAATCACTATAAAACTTGTTTACTTTGTACTGCAAGTGAACTGTACCCTCTGTCTGCTAAAGTTGGGACTAACTATGCCGACAAGCTGCGGTTGCTCAGTCAGTTACAAGGTGCATTAACAAGCACACAGTGTTTATAGTATACATTCTTCGTGGGTGGAAGGGAATAATTGCATCTGGGTTAGTATCAGGTAATTAGAGCAAGAAATGTAAGTTTTAAAATAATGAGGGTAGTTAGAGATATATTAGATCAACAGTTGCAGCCAACAAATGGTGGTCCTGAAACTTCAAGCGTGTATGCAGATTAGCAACTCCTCACCATAAAAACCAGCATGTTTGTTATGAATTGTCAAGACAGGACCTTGGACTGTAATCGATTTTTTTGGAATTACCTAAGCAATGGAAAACAGACATGAGATGTGAAACTTAGAATATTACAGTCTCTGTACATCAGGTCACGTCAGATGGAACAAGGATGTAGTGGAATGAGCAAAAGGCAGATGGACTGGGTGAAGTTAATAGATTTTCTGCTGGTCTGCAAATGCATAGATAAGCTGCAAACCAGGTAATAAGAATAAGCACACAGAATCTTGTACTACTGATAAATATGGAGTTTGCTAAATGTATCTGTGATCTGGAGAAGATAGTTTACTGCTGCTAGGTAGCAATGAACTGTGGTTAGTTGTAATTTCTTCCTCACTACTAACATGGATTTAGGAGTTATGAAGGAAACTCATAGATGAGATTACTGATATATTGATGAACAGTTTTGAAATATGTTGTAATTTGTGTAATACTTGGCACTTGAATCAGCTAATATATTAAACACTTTACTACATAATGTAGATACACCTCTTGGAATTTACACTTCATAATGTGCTGTGTATCACTTGAGTAGCCATTTTGCAAATCTTAAAAATATTATGTTAGTTATATTTCATAAATTATTTATGAACCAAATCTTCTATTTATATTATACTGTAGAATAATCTTATTTAATTCCACACTGCTTATTGACACTGGATAAGTCATATTTTTATACATATTATTTAAGTGTACATGTAAACAGTAGATGTCTCATTAGTGTTTACTTCCATGTTGGACTTTGGATGTCAGTTTTAATGCTAATAAATATCTTAGTTAAATAAAGCAAAGGATTTTTTAAGTATCTGCTTGTAATAATAAATGCTGGGTGGGGAAATCTGTTGCAAGCATGCAGTTTGGAAATGGTAAATATTAGAGTGGTTGAAAAGTCACTTTGTACCGTCATGGGAACGGTGAAATTGCTACCACAGTGTTTTAATACAGCTTCATATATTACTGTGCTCTATTTACAGTAAAAGTAATGTGTGTGGAACACATGTAAAATTTAAATTTATATTCCTACCAGTTTGATAAGTTCATATGTGAAAATGGTCCTGCTTTTTGAAGCTTGGATGCTTTTAGTGGAATTTGTGTTAGAAGTGGGAGTAAATTCCATAAAAATGAATCACTGTATATGCAACAGGATCTACCAGGCCATTGGTATCAAGGAACAAGGTAAATGGGCCTTCTTTGTTTCATATTTTCACTTATATTCAGGTCATCTGGCAGCAATGCCTGTCCATTAGTCTGTCTTCCCAAGATCCTCCTCACTCTCCTTCCTTGTTCATTCTGTGTGACATCTTTCCTAAAGCATTGTTCTAATCTTGATGTTGGTCTTCCACTTGGGTGTCTTCCTTTAGTTTCATTTTCATTCTTAAAATGTGCCCATATCATTTTATTTATATATCCTCCAAAGATTTTTAAATAGCTGATGACTGCACCCACTCAAACACTGTAATGTGGGTTCAAATCCCACTGTGATATGGATGTCTGTGTTTGTGTTGTTCTGTGTAGACAGCGGCCTTATAACGGGCTGATCCCCCATTCAAGGAGACCTACGAACAGTCTGTAAGATTCAAATTTCAGAATTAATTAATTCTGAATGGGGACAGGCCAGAAAGCCTAATCCATCATGGCAGAAGATCTTTGAATAATGAGGCACATATTTTTTTGAAAACACAACAAACACTAAATAGTCCAGTAATCAGATTAGTTATCCTCTTCACTGCCCAGACCTAATTCTAACAGGATATTGCTAGTGCACACACGGTTTGTGTGTCTGGATTTCTGTTTGATATATTTTGTGAAAGATTTCAAAGACTACTGGCTAACAAGGTCCTCGTATCACTGTCACTTATCTGAGGATAATATTAAAAAATGTACAATGACCAAAATTTTCCCATACTATCCAAGAATTCAAGAAAATACCACTGTAATCAAAATTTCTTTTGTGAACAAAATAAGATCATTCCAGCAAGTCTATGGTCACCATCTCCAGCATTATTTCTATTAATTTCTAGAGATTTGCAGTTAAAAATTTGATGAGCATGGTACAGGTCCTTACGGTAATTGGCTGTAACTAATGAACACAAGGTTTATATTTCTGCTATGGGTTTGAGATCCTTACAGCAGTCACTATGATGAGCTCTCTCATTTGGGATCTTTGTACTTCTAATAGCAATATGGAAATGTCTCTTTTACTGCACTAACACAATAGAAAGAAACAAATTCACCGTAACTGGTAATGCAAACAATAAGCTCGGCACTAATTTCAGGTGTATTTGGTAGAATTATGAAATTACTTTCTTCCAGTATGGATTTTACTCACTCTCACACTTTTACCTCTGCAGAGTAATTCATTCAGTATATTTGAAGAAGCCTATAAGAAATCAGAACATTCATGAATGGTGATTATGAAGGGAGCTCGAAGGAAGCTATTGCATTATATCTTGAAGTACTAACCCTGGCAAGAGTCAGGATAGTGTAGTCGGTATAGCGACTGGCTACAGGCTGTCTGACCAAGGGGTCAGAGTTCAAGTACTGGTGGGGGTAAGAATTTTCACTTCTCCATGTCATCCAGGCTGGCTATGGGTTCCACCCAACCTCCAATCCAGTGGGTACCAGGGGCTCTCTCCCTGGGGTTAAAGCGGCAGGAGCGTGAAGCTTACGACTCACCTCCAGCTAGTGTCAAAGAAAATGTGGATCTATACATCCACTTCCCCATACGCCTTCATGGCGTAGTGTTTAACCCGTTGCCGTGGTTCGTCGTGTATGTTTCGTCAGGGATTTAAATCGTCTGGGGGGGTTCGACGTGTATGTTTCGTCCAGCTGCACACGTATGTTATAACGCCCATAATAATTGATGGTTTTGCTGTAGATTGTTAGATTTTTCACTGGCCTGTTGTCAGGAGGACTGTATTTAATGACACACGCGTTTAAGAGCGCTAAGTCGTCGTTACATATGCCTGTCTTGCAGCAACGTTCCTGTGGCTATTGCGAGCTGTTTCTGTTATGAATGATGTGTTTTGTTTGCTCTGAAGCTATAAACACCAGAGACTGATATGTGCTGGTGTTTATAATATCATATTGCCCTGAGCTGGCTATTCAATTGGAATTCTTAGAAGAGGGATGTACAAAAGTTTATGCCTGCAAAATCGATTGCTTTCGCACAGTACATAGCACCCA